GTGGAAGCAATGAATTCCTGCCTCTAAACCTTGACAAGTAATTGGTTCATGACAAAATTTTAAAAAAAATTGCAACCTTTGAGGGCCACTGAGACAGAACCCCTATAGGTATAATTCAAAGGGAATTAAGAGAATACTAAGGAGAGGACTGAATTAATATTTTGTGGACCAGAATCCAGACTCCCTCATAGTATAAGAGATATTTCCAGTAAAAAAGAAGGGAAGGGATCTAAGGTCAAAAGGAGAAGGCTGAAGGTAGTGTTGTTTGTTTGTTTTGCTTTATTTTCTTTTCTCAACCTGCCTGGGGGGCCCTGGGAGAACAAGGTAAGAACATTAGTAGAGAGGTATCTTCTAAGAAGGGGATAACCAAATGGCTCTCACCCCTGGAGAGAAATCATTCCCAAGATTTCACAGCCAACATGCAGGGGCCTTGAAATGGACTGCAATCAGGAATAGTGTGCACTTCTCCCTTACTTCTCAAAACTGGCTTCTACTCCAAGGTAGCAAGGATTCCTATAAGTAACCCTAATTTCTGGGAGGACCTGGTGCTGAGGGAGGGTGCAAGAAGCATAAGTTCACAGGGATGATTAATTGTCCTGAGAATAAACAGATGGTGAGTAAAAGGGTTTGAAGTTTGACGGGCATCCCTGAGTCTGGACAGGAGGGAGCTCTTTCCACCATACCCTACTGCTTCCTCCATTTCTTAGTATTTCTGAGAATGCGGCTCCTCGGAGAAAGACCCTTAAAAAAAATGGAGTTGGGAAGCAAAAGAGAGAGATCTATAATTGCACTAACAGGTGGGGTGTTCAGGTGGGAGTAATGCTTTTGTTTTCCACAAGTTCCACCTTCTATGAGGAATACAGAGAGAATAAAGAAGAAAATTCCAAGCACAAAAGCCCACGAAAAAGAGATTAGACTAGTGAGTATACTAGAAGGGGAAGAGTAAAGATGAGAAAAAAATATTCTTAGAAAAAGATACACAGACATTTGGTTTGGACCACTATTTCACACTGTATACCAGATAAGGTCCAAATGGGAATCTGACTTACACATTAAAGGTGCAAGCATAAGCAAATCAGAGGAACAAGAAGGCCTTTCAGACTGCTAAATGGTGGAAGAATACAAGATCAAACAAAGCACAGAGAGCATCAAAGAAGTTAATATGAATAATTTTGATTGTATTAAATTGAAAAGATTTTGCACAAGTCCAACACAGTTAAACTTGGAAGGGAAACAGGTCACTGGAAAAAAACAAAACTAAACAAGAAACTGGTATCTTAGATGATTCTCAGAAAGAGAAATCAAATCAGGTTCAAATAATCTACCAAAGGAAATAACTCCTGGTCCAGATAGAATTCACTCATAAATCAAACAATTAAAGAGAAATTAATACCTTTGTTACAAAAGCTATTCCCTATTAAGAGAGGGAAGATGCTCTATTAAACTCTTGCCACAAGAAAAACTTGGCCCTTACACAATCACAACAGCCCCAAAAGAGGGCCCACCAAGGCCACTAAGAGGCAATAGCTATTTTCCTGTGGGCAGGCTAGCAAACAATCAGATAGGTTTGAGAATAATCAGCATATAAATGGTAATTAAATCCATGGAAGATGGATGAGATCACCAAGTGAAGTAGAATGGAGAAGAAAAGAGGTTCCAAGACAGAATCCCATGAAAAGTTTCTATTGTATACTCTTATTTGTATTGGAAAAGAGGATAAAAATGTTAATAAAGGAATCATAAGCAAAAAACACAGATCTAAAAGGAGACTGAAAAATGACATCCTCAATAACAGGTGAATCTATAAACCGATCAAAGAAACAATAATTAAAAAAGATAACAATGACAAAGAACATACCAAAATTATAGGATACAGATAAAATAGCCCTCAGATCCCAATTCAACACAATATCATAGATTTTGAGCTGGAAGGGACTTCAGAAATCATCTAATCCAAACCACTTATCATACAGATGAGGAAACCGACTCAGGGTGCTGAAATAACATGCACATGATGACATAGGTAGAAAGTGACAAGGCCATGACTCAAACCATAATCCTCTGGCTCCAGTGTTCTTTCCATTATACCGTATCATTGAACACATATTGATACCTGTGAAAACGAGGACTAATGAACTGAGTGTACATTTATGGAAACCTAGAAACATTAACAAAACCACCAAGAAAATATGAAAATCAAGGGGAAAATGTACAAATTTTATAATAAATAATGTTACAAATAAAAGAATATTGAACCCTTCTAAAAATGTATAAAATAAATACATTAGATTATAAAAAGACACCAACTATATACTGGGGAATAGCTCTTATTCTTACTGATTTTAATCAGTTCTTTGTATATCTTGGCTATGAGACATTTGCTGTAGCCTTTGACATTTTCGAGCACCCTCTTCTCTTTGATACTCTTTTCGCTCTAGGTTTCCATGATACTTCTCTATCCTCATTCACCTCTGTCACCCTCCAAATCCAATCTGTTGCCATCGATTTGACTTTTTTAGGCAAAGTTCCAAGTTACTTTCCACAATGACCATATCAATTCACAGCTCCCTTGACTGTATATTAGCATGCTTATTTTCCCTCAGCCCCTCCCACAACTGTCATTTTCTTCTCTGTCATCTTTGCCAATCTAATGTGTATAAGATAAAAACTCAGAGTTGCTTTAATTTGCATTTCTCTAATTACTAGTGTTCTGGAGTATTTTTTCATATGGTTGTTAAGAACTTGGAGGCCCTCCATTGAAAACTGATACCCAAATGAAAGTAAACTGAACTAAAGGGAACTGATTTTCTTGAAAAGACTAAACAAAATCTATACATCATTAGCTCATAAGAGAGAAAGAGAAACAGAAAAGGGACATGGTAAAATTCACGAGTCATGGGCAATCTGGTAAGGTCTATTTATTCCTCAGAATAAATTTTTTTAAATGTATAAAATAAATACATTAGATTACAAAAGAAACCAACTACATACTGGGAAATAGCTCGTATTCTTACAGATTTTAATCAGTTCTTTTTATCTCTTGGCTATGAGACATTTGCTGTAGCCCATGACTACACTGTGGAGTACCCTCTTCTCCTTGATGTGCTTTTCCCTCTAAGTATCCAGGATACTTCTCTATCCTCATTCTCCTTCCTCTCTTTGTCACTCTCCATATCCAATCTGTTGCCATCTATTTTACCTTTGAAACAAATACTTTTATACACGAGTCTTTTTCTTCTTTCTTTGCTTTCTTTGAGGGTATAGACTTAGTAGTATTATCTCTGGATCAAAGGGCATACACACTTTATTGACTTTTTTGGGCAAAGTTCCAAGTTGCTTTCCAGAATGACCTTATCAATTCACAGCTCCTCTGACAATATATTAGCATGCCTATTTTCCCTCAGCCCCTCCCAAAATTGTCATTTTCTTTTCTGTCATCTTTGCCAATCTAATGAGTAAAAGGTAGAAACTCAGAGTTGCTTTAATTTGCACTTCTCTAATTACTAGTGTTTCAGAACATTTTTTCATATAGTTGTTGAGAGTTTGGATGTTTTTCATTGAAAACTGATACCCAACTAAGAATGGGTAAAGCACACAGAAAAAACAAAAAACAAACAAAAACTATATTAAACTCTTTCTGTGAGAAAAAACTTGACCCTGATAGAAGCATAAAAGCCCCAAAAGAGAACAGTATCACTACTGAATACTTATGCAAAAAATGTTATGTATCATGTATACACAATTATAAATGCCTGTCATTCCCCAATACCTAAGCGATCAAATGAAGAACTCCAAATCCCAGCCATATGTTCCAAATTACTAATAAGAAAAATACAAATTAAAACAATTCCAAGGTTCCACCTTATAGTCAAAATGGTTAAAATGATAAAAAAGAGAAATGTATATTGGAAGAGTTATGGGGAGATGGGTATGCTCATGCACAGGCAGAACTGTAAATCCAACTATTTTGGAAAATAATTTGGAATTTTGCAAGCAAAGTTAAATAAACTATTCATACCCTTTCACCTAGTGATACTTACTGGACATGAACCCCAGAGATGTTAAAAACAGAAAGTAAGGTATCACATATGTTAAAATATTCATAGTAGTACTCTTTATGGCAGTAAAATGGAAAGAGGGTGCTCATCAACTAGGAAAGGGCTGGAAAAAACTGGTCTATGTATGTAATGGAATATTGAACCATAAAAAACAATAAATATGAAGAATTTAAAGAAACTTGAGATTGATGCAGAGTTAAGTACAACAATGTATACAGTAACAACAATAATATAAATCCTTTGGGTTTCTTTTTGGAGGTAATTGGGGTCAAGTGACTTGCCCAGGGTCACACAGCTATTAAGTGTCTGAGGCCAGATATGAACTCAGGTCCTCCTGACTCCAGGGCAGGTAGGTGCTCTATCCACTCCACCACCTAGCTACCCCAATAATATAAATCAAAACAGCACTGAAAAGGCAACATAGGATCAGAAGTTTGGAGCTACAAGGGACCTCAGAGGTCATTTAATTCTACTCCCTCATTTCACAGCTGAGAATAGTGGGAGCAAAAAGATTAAATTATTTTTCTCAAGGTCACACAGATAGTATTAGAGACTCAATTTAAATCCATGTCCTTTAACTCCAAACCCAATACTCTTTCTGCTCTACTATGCTACCTTTGGATACAAGACTGATTAGTTGTAATGGGCAATTCTGGTTTATCAGAACAGCCAATGAAACACATTTCTTTCCTCCTGCTAGAGCCAGGAGCCTATGCTGTATACACCATCAGACCTATTACTCAGAGCCCCTCCCAGCTGCTCACTAAATTCCTGCCCCAGCCTCAATTACTGAATAGGCCTGACTACAACCATATTCAATGATCACAACAAGATAAACTGCTTTCCTAAGTAAAATTCTTTATCTAAACCAGAGGACCCAATAGATAAGTAAGACCAGCTCATCAGCTTCTCTGCATAAGCCACAGTAAAACATTTTCCTACCTCCCAAATCACAGGCTGAGCGAAATCTTGACAGATCAAAAGCAGTTGCCACATCCCTTGCAGTCAGCTTCATGATGCTATGCATGGCATTCATGAAACGCAGTTTTGTCTCCATGCTGTGATAATAGGAGTCCTGAAAATAACACCATGTCCTGAGAAAAGATACTATTCAGACCAGTGACAGACATATTTGCATCTCATTCAATATTTCTTCCAAAAGAAGGTCAAGGTCCAGGTTTAAATCCTACATGAACCATGTATCTTCTCAGTACTGACTACACCTGGAACTAAGCCAGCTATTTCCCAAAATGTGCCATTGGTCAAAAAGGTAATCATGTGACAGTGAATGAATGAGTGAGTGTTAAACTAACCATACAATCAGAAAAAGAAGTCAGAGGCTATTTCCTTGTTGTTCAGTCATGTCTGACTCTTCATGAGCCCATTTGGGGTTTTCTTGGCGGAGATACTGGAGTGGTTTGCCATTGCTTTCTCCAGCTCATTTTACAGATGAGGAAACTGAGGTAAACTGGGTTAAGTGACTGCGCAGGATCAAACAGCTTGTAAGTGTCTGAGACCAGACTTGAACTCAGTAAAGTGAGTCTTCCTGACTCCAGGCCCAGCACTCTATCCATTGCACCACCTGACTGCCCAAGACATTTCCTACTTATTTTCAAAACAGAAAAACAAGATATGCCATTTATGTTTTATACTGTCCATAAAGTACTGGAACACTGGTATGGTGCAGTAGCATTGTTAATTTGAGTTCATGGTAAAATGGAAAGAATGACTGATTTGTGCTCAAAGTACGTGGATTCACATCTTAGCTCTGTCACTACATGTGTGACCTTTGGCAAATCATTTAATTTTTTGGATTTCTCTTTTCTCTTACATATTGGGTCTCTGTATCTCATCTAGGTTGGAAGTGCAGGGGTCTGATTTCAATACTGATCAGCCTGGAAGTTTTAAATTGCTCTGTTTTTCCAATCTAGGCCAGTTCACCCCTCTTTAAGCAAATTAGTGCTTCACCCTCTTCCACTCCTGAGAATTCACCATATTGTAGCCTGACTAGTGCAGATATCTGATTGCCTTTAGCGCGACTGCGAATTAGAACACTTAAGCTCAAATGATCCACCAGCCTAAGCCTCCACAGTGGCTGGGATTACAAGACTTATATTCATTCATTCACTCCTAAGGGGTTTCCTTTATGACCAGCTGCACACATGGAACATAGCTGACTCAGTCTCAGGTATAGGCACCATGACTGACTTTCAGTTTCTTCACCTCGAAAATGATGGAGCCACCACCATTTGAGTTCTGAAGCCCCTTAAAGCTCTAATTCTACAATCCTGTTCTTCTGGAGAAACAAGAAGGCAATCACTGTCAGTATCTTCCCCCCTCCCCCTTTCCCTCAGCTGCCTACATATTAATGATTCACTTTTGTACATTAGTAATTTCTCATACTCCTTGCCTAACTCCCCCTCCCATGCTCTATCCATACATTGTTAAGGCCTAGGGGAAAGAACAAATCGGAAGGGCTCCTCCCAGGTGTGTAAGGTTCAATAATGGGACTTTTGCTTTTCAAATTGGATACAAGAAGGCACTGGCCTTTTGTAGGAGGAATAAGGTGAGGCCAAGTAAGGACTTAGTTCTTCCTCTGTCCAGTTTACAAGCTGAGCCTATGGGACACTGGGCTTCATAAATGAAATATTTATGCATTCCAAAGTCCACAGGTTAAGCTGCAGACTCAAGGTAAACCTCTACTATTACTAAATTATTCATTTAGTGACAGCTATTTCCATGGTCCAGGGGCAAAGTACAAAATCTTAACAGTTCCCAGGCTGTCACAACATTAATCATAAAATGGCAATCTTCTGGCCAAACCAGATGTTTGGTCCCCTCAGTATATGGGGATTGGGTAGATATGTGGAAATCAATTGATCAGAATTTATTAAGATAGAGGCAGGCTCAAATGACTGCTACCAGCAATGTGTCAGTAACGGGGCTAGGCACTGGGGATATAGAGATGAAATCCGAATAATCTCTACCCTCAAAGAGACAATTGTACAACAAGTACATATGTAGGCAAATAAAAAACAAATACAAAATAATTGTGGGGTAGGAGGATGTAGTACCAATGAACGGGGTAATCAGGAAAAGCTTCTTTTAGGAGGTGGCCCTTGGGTCAAATCTGATAGAAAGCTAGGGATTCTAATAAGCAGAGATGAAAAAAGAAGCGCATTCCAGACATGAGGGACAGTCTGTGCAAAGTCCCAAAAGTGGGAAATGTGGTGTTGTTCATAGAGAACATTATGTTATGCAGGGCAATTTGGCTGGAATGTATGATCCTGATTATGAGTAATATGAAATCAGCCTATAAAGATAAGCTGAAGCCAGATTGTGAATGTCAAGCAGGAATTTTATTTTATCACAGAAGCTTTTCCTCTAGATACACAGAGGAGAATAGGAATAACCCTACTACGAGGAGAACTTAGTCCCATGAATTTTTTTTTGGAGGTAATTGAGGTTAAGTGACTTGCCCAGGGTCACACAGTTAGTAAGAGTTTGAGGCTAAATTTAAACTCAGGTCCTCCTGACTCCAAGGCCAGAGCTCTATCCACTGTGCCACCTAGCTGCTCCACTATGAATCATTTTTTATAACCAATGATGTTCCATGGATCACCTGTTTCCAGTTTCCCCCCCTCCTTTCCATTATTCATGCTGTTTATTATTAATACCTTTCCTACAGTGCAAGAATGAAAAGAAAAAGCTGGTTAAAATTCATAACAATCATTCTGTTACTTGTTTTCAGAGAGGAGAAAAGGTTTTTCAAATATGCTGGTTTCAAAATTATTCATCAAAATGAAAGTTTGTAATTATTGATGGATTTCTGTGATCAATACCAAGCTTGGCTTTGGTAGAGATGAGAGTCAAGAGGTACATAGTTGTTTGCATATTATCTCCCCTATTAGAATGTGCTACTCCTTGAGGCCAGGGACTTGTTTTCACCTTTCTGTATTCCCAGAACTTAGTACAGTGCCTGGCACAAAGTAATTTTCTAAGAAATGCTGTTTGAGGGCAGCTAGGTGGTGCAGTACATAGAGCTCTGGCCTTAGAGTCAGGAGGACCTGAGTTCAAATCCTGCCTCAGACACTTGATATTTACTAGCTGTGTGACCCTGGGCAAGTCACTTAACACCAATTGCTTCACCAAAAAGAAAAAAAAATGCTGGCTGACTTAAGTATGCCATGAAAAATTTAGAATTTTAGGTTCTATTGCATCTAGATAGAGATCATCATTTTTAATCTCATTACCTTCCTCTCAAGATTATGGATATTAGAACATCTGAAATGCTGATTCATGTTTTATCGCCATGAGGAAGATATAAGCTCCTTGAGGGCACAGACTGTTTCTGGGTCTTTATATCCTTAGAACCTGGCACAATGTCTTAAACTTATTAGGTGCTTAATAAATGTGCTTAATTAAATTAATAGTTTTTTTCAATCCTGCTAGAGACTCCATAGCAATCTCAAGGAATAGGTGATTGGTTATAATTCCATGACCTTGGGACTTTTTCAATCACCAAAGTCTCTTAGTAAAAAGTACATAAAACTTAAGATTGGCCACTCTAACATACATTACCTGAAATAAGTCCTGAACATTCTTTCCAAAAGCTCGATGGTTCTGATTTGTTCCCTCTTTGACAGCAGATTCCAGATGTGTGAACAGTGGCCAAACATGATCATTAGCATGCATGATATAGCCATGCAGAGAATATTCACTGTCAGACACCAAGTACTTCTCAGCCAATCCTGTGTTACTGTAACCTGAAAAATAATGTGGCTGATTTTGTCATTCCTGAACTTAACAACTGAAGCAAACTTTTCAATAAGTTTGTTTAGCATTATTTTAAACATTAAAACATAACTAAGATTATTTTATTCTATTTTATTTTTAAAAATTAAACAAGTTATTAATTTTTGGTTTTCAACATTCACTTCCATAAGATTTTGAATTTCAAACTCCCCCTCTCCCCCCTCTCTCCTGTCCCAAGACAGCATGCAATCTGATATAGGCTCTACTGATAAGTTCACATTATGCATTTTTTCACATCAGTCATGATGTAAAGAAGAATTAGAACCAATGGGAGGAACCATGAGAAAGAAGAATCAAAACAGAACAACAAAAGAAAAGGAGAGCAAATAGTATATAACATAGACTATTAACATGGATTACCGTCAATGGTGATATCTAGTGTCATGCACCTTGAATTCAATGCAGACAACGAATTGTGAAGTGACAAATACATTTTTTTTCTGTCTCTACAACTGTTACCTTAAAATCTTGTAGGTAATATTTGCCTATTTCCCCCAACTGTTGCAAATAGTCTTTCAGACACTTTTCCTATTTGACCCCTTTGAAAATATTTCACTTAACATGCCTGAAGCAATTTTTAGACATCCCTAAAATGCTCGTGTTCTTTTTAAACTTTTGTCCCCACCCATATTGGATCCATCCCTTTTAAGGAAAAATATCATGGGAAGGTATAGGTAGATAAAGTCTTTGACCTTTTAATCTCCTTCCCAGATTTTGAGGCAGGCTCTGACAGACTTCCAACTGCAAAGATTTCTGGGACCACATCCTATTAGTTCAAGTTACCTTGGTTGGTTTTCTTTAATAATTGAAGGGCTGTGCAGGAATCAAGTAATCTCTCGGTCCCACACACAGATGCACTGATGTGGTCAGCAACATCTTTGGCCTTCAGATGGGCTTTGCCTTTGAGCAGATCAAACACCTTTAGCTTACAGGCCACAAACATTGCCTGCACATTAAAAAGACAAAAGGACTGGTCTTTAAAAAGATATATAGAGGATTTATTTAAGTACGGGTTCTAAGATTACATCTTTATTTCAATATAGCTGTTTTCCCTAATAATCCTATGTGTTTTCTTTTAAGCATTTAAAAACATTATTCTGAGAAGGGGTCCAGAGGCTTCACCAGGCTGTCAAAGGGGTCCATGACACAAAAAAAATAAAGAAATCCTGGTCTAAATGATACTAGAGGTTCCTTCAGGTTTCATGCCTATTAAAAAATACAAGTAAAACCAAAATTTAAGAGACTTATTCTGGTTTTAGGGAAAGGGCTGTTTATTTGATCGGTAGAATAAAGCAATGTAAAATCAAGGTTACGTCCCACCTAACTGAACTTTCTTCAGCAGATAATACTGGATCTACTCTCTTTCCAGAGTGAGTTTTTCCAAAGAGGTAAAGACTGTCAATGGTTACCAAACAGCAAAACTGCTCCCACAGGGTGAGATCCAGGTGTTAGATTCAGTGAGCTGGTGACGAAATTTTTTTTTTTCGAGGCAATTGGGGTTAAGTGACTTGCCCAGGGTCACATAGCTAATAAGTGTCAAATGTCTGGTCTGAGACCAGACTTGAACTCAGCCTGACTCCAAGGCCAGAGCTCTATCCACTGTACCACCTAGCTGCCCCTCAAAAAATTTTAAAAATCAGGACACTACTGGTTTCCCAGATTCTTTCACTAGACATAAACCCAGTTAATTAAATGACACTGGATTCCTTTGAATGTAATCCAGCGAAGGGCCAAACACTCCCTTTTATCTTCAATAATTTCTAATCAAGTTAGCAAGATTAGGCATGCTCTGTGATTACCTAGAATACTTTACTAGATATAAAAAAATAATTACTGACTTAATAATGCCTCATGCAAGTCAAACACAATTGTACGCCTTTAAAACACTGAGTGATAGGATTAACCGTTTCTATATTAATTACACAAATTACATAGGGTATTTCTGACAAATACTTATGTTTTGGTAGGGGTGGGAAGGAAGTAGAAAGACATCATTTGATCATACACCGGCATGTTATAAAAGGGCTTTATGAATTAAATTCTATAAATGACATCTTTCTATGTACAATTCAGCAATCTGACTTCTCCCTTCATCCTTGAATACAAGTCTTCCCATTTGAATAAGACCGACATGAGTTTTAATAATAACCAACCACCAAATAGAACTGGTCTGAAGCAAAGGGGTTCTATGAAGAAAATGGGAAGGAGTCAGAGGCTAAAATACTACCTTGAGCACTGACAGACCACCTCATTAAGACTTGAAAAGAATGTGAGACTTTAGCAGTCATTCTACACAACTGTTCCAGCTTTTCTATGACTGTTATTTCATTACTCAGCTTAGATTTCATTCATGAGTATGGGGGCTGATGGGCGGGGAGTAGGAAGGCATGGCATTAGCTGGTTATTTTGGGACAGGATTGGATACTGGGGGAGATGTGGATATATGGTTTTTAATCCATTCTGCTATTCCGTCTGTTTTATGGCAGAGTTCATCCCATTCACATTCACAGTTATGATTACTATCTGTGTCTTTCTCCCCATCCTATTTCCCCTCTGTTTATGCTTTTCTTTCTCCTTTCTCCCTTTCCCTCCTCACTAGTGTTTTGCTTTTGACCATCTCCTCCCTCAGTCCCACCTCCATTCTATTAACCCCCTCACTTTTCTTTCCCCTTTTTCTCCTACTGCTCATAGGGCAAATTAGATTTCTATATCTAACTGATTATGTTATTCCCTCCTTGAGCCAAATCTGATGAGTAAGGTTCAAACAATGCTCATCTCCCTCCTTTCTTTCCCTCTACTTTTAATAGGTTTTTGTACCTTTTCCTGAAACTGTAATTTACCCTTGTCTGCTTCCTCCTCTCCTTTTTTCCCAGTACAATCCCTTAGTTAAATCAGATTAATCCACTTACTTAGATCCATTTAACCCACTTGAGTAGATTTTTAAAAATCATTACATCAAAGTCAACTTATACCCACCCCCTCTATGTACACTCCTTTAACATGGTATAATAACAATACAGTTCTCAAGAGTTACAAGTGTCATCTTCCGTTGTAGGAATGGAAACAGTTTGCCCTTATTAATAACATGTTGTTTTTTTCTGTCCTGTTCACCTTTTTATGTTTCTCTTGAGTCATGTATTTGAAGATCAAATTTTCTGTTGAGCTCTGGTCTTTTTATCAGGAAGGTTTGGAAGTCCCCTATTTCATTGAATGTCCATCTCCTCCCTGAAAGATTATGCGCATTTTCACTGGGTAGTTGATTTCTTGGTTGTAATCCAAGCCTTTGCCTTATGGAATATCGTATTCCACACCCTACCATCTTTTAATGTAGAAGCTGCAAGGGCCTGTGTAATCCTGATTGTGATTCCATGATATTTAAATTGTTTCTTTCTGGCTGCTTGCAGTATTTTCTCTTTGATGTGGTAATTTTGGAATTTGGCTACTATATTCCTTGGCATTTTCAATTTAGGATTTTCAGGAGGAAATAGGTGGATTCTTTCTATGGCTATTTTACCCTCTGGTTCTAGGACCTTAGGGCAGTTTTCCTTGATGATTTACTGAAAGATGCTGTCCAGGTTCTTTTTTTCATCATGATTTCCAGGTAGACCAATAATTTTTAAATTATCTCTCCTGCATCTATTTTCTAGGTCAGTTGTTTTACCAATGAGGCAGTTTACATTTTCATCTATTTTTTCATTCTTTTGTTTCTATTTGACTGATTCTCCCTGTCTCATAGAGTAATCAGTTTCCACTTGCCCAATTCTAATTTTTAACAAATTGTTTTCTTCTATTAGATTTTGTACTTCCTTTTCCATTTGGCCCATTTTATGTTTTAAGGTGTTCTTCTCCTTAGTGAGTTTTTGTGTCTACTTTTCTGTTTGGACAATTGTATTTTTTAGGGACTTGTTTTCTTCAGTGGACTTTTTTTCCAGTTGGCCAATTATATTTTTTAGGGACTTGTTTCTACAGTTAATGTTTGTCCTTCCTTTTCCAAGCTATTGACTCTCTCTTGCATAGCTTTCATTTCTTTTCCCGATTTTTCTTTTACCTCTCTTATTTGACTTTTAAAGTCCTTCTTGAGCTCTTCCAAGAAGGCTTTCTGGGCTTCAGACCAGATCATACTGCCTTTTGAGGTTTCAGATGTGGGTTTGTTGACAATGTTGCCCTCTTCAGAATTTCTGCCTTGTTCTTCTCTGTCCCCATAATAAGCATCTATGATACGTTTCTTTTTTGCTCATGGTGTTTGCTTATTTCCTGGCCTTTAAAAAAATTGAGCTCTGGGGCAGCTAGGTGAAATGGGGAGCATCTGGGGCCTCACAATGTAATGCTCTATGGCAGACCTGCACAACTTGGCAGTAGGTAGGGGCCAAAATTAAAATAGGCTAAACTTCTCTGGGCTGCATATAGTTTTTAGTGGCTTACTTTCCAAGTAAAGGTATAATTAATGATTAAACTATTTTGCAAATAAACCATATTTTTTAAAAAGGGAAATTTCAATTAATATTAATTAATTACACTTATTACTTAAGATTTTTGTTTATCATGAAATTGCTCTTCTCAGACTATAGACAGACTGACTGACGATGGATGGTTGCCATGGGTCATGTGACAAACAGGAGAGAGTGCTCAGTGGGTAGCCACCTACTAAGTTACATGATGGGCACAATAGTGACTAGTGGAAGGCAGGGTAAGTGGGGCACGGACAAAGCACTTGTTACATCTTTACTTTCTTTAATATCCTCTACATTTTTCTTGGGTCACCTGAAATCCTTTGGCAGGCTGCAAGTGGCCTTTGGGCTGTATGCTGTGCAGGCCTGTTCAATGGTAACGTTTCTTAAGCAAGGGTCCATTAATTTGTTTTTGAACTATTTTGATAATTGTGTTGTTATAATTGGTTTCTTTTATAATCTTATGTATTTTATTTTGTATGTTTAAAAACATTCTCAGGAGTCTATAAGCTTTACCAGACTGCTAAAAAATGTTAAGAACCCTTGCTTTAGGGGATAGTCCTACTTAGAGTAAGTCAGACCACAGCGGGATTCAAGGAGAAGCTCTAAGGGGGTATTCCAAGACAGAACTGCATGGTCTTAGCTTCTCTTCTAGCAGCACCACCACAGCTGGGGAAGGTCAAGGTTTCAAGCAGCATAGGACACCTACTCTGATGCAATCATCCTTCCAGGCAACTTGGTGAACCCCAAATATCTATCTCCACATCAGCACAGGTTCAAGCAGCATTGTCTCTTGGATAACCACAATTCTATTACGTAACTCTCTCCACCTTATCCTTCCTAGCTAACAGAATTCCCATTCAGTAATATATTCCATCTAGGAAGGTTTCTTACAGCTACATGTCTCCCCAGCATCCAATCCTGCCCCAAAATAACCAGCTAATGCCATGCTTTCCTCCTCCCCACTTACCTGCCACCAACTCATGTTATCTTGAGTCTCAACTGGTTTGTCTCCTTTTGTGCACATTCCCTTCCTCCCACAACGAATTTCTGTAGGCACAGCTCTTCGGTAATCAAACAACTGAGATATATAGTTTTGGTTTCAAGGTCAAGGTAGAACTCAATCTAATTCACATTTGGAAAAAAAAAAGTTTGAGAGCAAAAAAGTAAGCAAACAAAAATATCCATCAGAAATTTATCCTAGGGGAAGCTAGGTGGCACAGTGGATAGAGCACGGGCCCTGGAGTCAGGAGGAACTGAGTTCAAATCTGATCTCTGACCAGACGCTTGACACTTACTAGCTGTGTGACCCTGGGCAAGTCACTTAACCCCAACTGCCTCCAAAAAAAAATTATCCTGTTATAACATTTTGAGTATAGTTATACACATTACAATTCACTTAACAGGTGACAACTTGCAAATTTGTTTGGATCACCTTAGAGCTAGGTCCTGCTTTCTCCCTTGCCTATAGTGTTAAAATCAAATTGTTGTTTTCCTTTTATAAACTCTTGGAAAGATTTTAAATCTTCCATTTTAAAAAGCCTAGTTTGACCTTTTCTTGACTGGGAATCACAAGGGAGACTTTGGAAGAGTGTTTGCTCTATACTCCAATGTGCACCTTTTTTTGAAGAGCTTAATTAAGGGCAAGAAATTGGCAAATGCAGAGTACCTGCTTTGGTAAACTGACTTAGAATGTCTTTTCTTTCCTTTAAGAAATCTCCTGAGGAAATCTAAGGCAATGTTAGGCAAGCTTATCTGTATGGGAACAGCTTTGGATTTCTACTCTGAAAGCCTGAGGTTTAGGTAATTTTAAATTAATTGAAGTAAAATTTGCATGTTTATTTTTGAGGGTTTTTGCTTTCCTGGTTCACCTCAGAGGCATTAGCATTAGCACAAGGTTCAAGAATAAAGCTAAGTTGTCTGTGAGTGCACAACCCCAGAAAATGAAGGACATTTACACTTATGTGTAAATTGACATCTCTTTCTCAACCACATTATTTAGTTTACAAATTACCTGAGGGTGAGAAAGTTATATCTCTTAGCATCTTCTCTAATCACACCCTGAACATGGTGTGATTGGGTTTTTTTTAAACTGTGCTTATTTGTTGTTATTTTTGCTTTTGTTTTTAACCTTGACAGGAAATCTAAGGGTTGTTTAAAGCAAGGACTTTGAGATGCTTTCCCTAAATAAGACTTCATTTATATGTATTATGATGATAACCACTTAGCTTGAAAATAGCTTTTCAGGGGCAGCTAGGTAGTGCACTTGATAGAGCACCGGCCCTGAAGTCAGGAGGACCTGAGTTCAAATCTAGCCTCAAACCAAACACTTGACACTTACTAGCTGTGTGACCTTGGGCAAGTCACTTAACCCCAATTGCCTCACAAAAAAAAAATAGCTTTTAACCTACTGAGATGAGAATTTTCTCTTTCCCCTTTGGCAAGGTCATTAATTAGAAGGAGAAAAAAAATCACGGCACTAAATACCTTTGAAGCTTTAAAACCATCCAAAAGCTCTACAAGAGTAGATGGAAATTTAGTCAGGCTTTCCATGTCCCCACTGCATTTCACCACAGGCTCTCCCATCGTGTCTTGGTGTATTTCTTTCTTTCCTAGGCTCCCAGGAGCTCCAGAAGAGAATGCATTGTCACCTTGTAGCTTGACGTTCGAATTTCGTTGAGTTGAACTGCCAAGTTCTTCATCACTTAGAACTTCAAAGGTTTCTACTGAAGGGATTGAGTCATGCTTTACATGATGTATGGCATCTTTAGGGGGTGGATAATACAATTCCACCAACTTTTTGCAAAAGTGGTTCAGTGGGAACCCTACCACATTCAAAAAGTCTCCATGAACATACTCCACTAACATGCCCCCAAGGGCCTGTATGCCATAGCCACCAGCTTTGTCCCTGGGAGAAGGAGAAGGAGAAGAGAAAGGCAGGGCAAAAGCAGATGATTAAAAGAGAAATTATAACTCTGTAGGCCAAGAAACTAAAGCCAATTCTAGAATTTAATTTCATGCCAACCAGTTGAGGAATATAAGATAAAGTCAGTTATCTCCACTAATGGGATGGTTTCGTATATACAAATACGTACGCATTTGTATAAATATTTTAGTTTACAAATAAATATCTTTGTATAAATAGGTATAATATAAAAAATACAAATATTAAGGAGGTGAATATTTAGCTCATATTGACATTAATTCCAAAGGTAATACAAGCCTGACTGACAATCTATTGTTGGGATAGAAATTTTCTGACTGTAAGATGAAGGTATCTTTGAAAATTATTATAATGCAATGGTAATGGCTTATCCTACATATGTCAACATTCTACAAAATGGCAAAGAAATACTCCAACATACTCTTGTACTGTATTTAAAAATATGTAATAAAATGGAGAACTGAGGTAATTACATTTCAGTGTCTAGTCCATGTGTAATTATATTTTTAAAGAAACTTTCCCTGTCAGAATCAAAGCTATCTTACTGCCAAGGTCAGAAACAGGTCTTTGGATTCTCATCATTCCTGTTTGAATTTCTTGCTTGCTCTCATTTTCTCTGCTAATTTTCACTGTTATGTCAAAATTATTCATTGCCTAAAAACTTCTTATGCAATTTATAGTGACTTATCATAGCAACAAAGCACTTCAAAAATCTAAAAATAATTCAAATAGTAGTATTTTGGTTTTCTTTAGCAAAATCTTTGATTTGCTGGCAAAATTTGAACAAGATGACAATAGATAAAGGTCCTATGTCAGCTGCACTGTTATTAATCTGAATTTGACAAGTTTTAACAAACATGCATACTTCCATATTCAAAGAACAGAAAAATATGTATGTGTACTCTATTACATATAGCTTGCATTTTTTAACGTAAATAATAATAATTTTAAGGAAATGATACATTCTACATATTAGCTTTAAAGCTGCCCTGTTTGTCTGCAGCACCTATTATATGAAGGCAGTTAAGATCTCTATAGAGAAGTAACATAGCATTGTAGACAGCAGACTGTATTTGAAGTCAAAAACATCTGGGTTCAAGTCCTGCCTTAAACATATACTACTTGTTATCATATTTCTTGTCTTCTCAATGGGTGGAGGAGGGGTGGATGGGTGGGAAAGAACTTGGAACTGAAAATAAAAAGTTAAAAAAAAATAACAAAATTAAATGAATTGAGCTATGTTAATTTTGAATGGGATGGGGCATGTTGGCTTTTATAAAACACTTACATTGGTTCTCCACTATGAATGTATTCCCATAAAAGCTCCTCCGACAGGTCAGAAAATTTAACTTTGGTTTCCTCATAGAATTTAAAGACTTCTGTTTCTAGCTGATTACCTGAAACAAAAATTCTACCATAAGCCAAGACTTCTATCCTCAATGAAATTAATCAAGAGTAAAGACAAATTTTAAAGATTAAATTTAATAGTTAAAAATCTACAACATTTTACATCGGTCAAATCTTTTTAACCTCCAGTTGCCTTACTTTCCTCATCAGCAAAATGGGGATAATAATTCTTACATTCTCTTGTTTTACCTATATGGGGTTTAAAAAGAAAATTTTAAAATGCTCATGATAGCCAAATTTACTTCACTGGTGTTTGGCATCCTGATGATCTCATTGTAAGATAGGCATCATTAGATATTTTATAAACAACAACAAACATAAATGGAATTGTAAGCTAGGAAGGAATAAACCACTATAGAAACAACACTTCAAAGTTCAAATCTTTCCATCTCACCCCCTCCCAATCTCTTGTCTATACAGAAAATGTAGCACTGATCATATTGAACTATAGTGTACAAGGAACCACCAAGCATGTTATCTTTGTTGTCATTCAGTCAACAGAAACAGTCAAACCTCTCCATTAAGTCTCTAAATGCACAATGTACTTTAGGGCAGGGTAGGGCTGGGCAGGCCATGAAAGATATACTCTTTTGTTGCTATTTGGAGATTTATGAGATATTTTAGAGAGTGTGAAAAACAAATTCTAAGTAACATATGACTATGACTCAAGTCATTTCTTGGGCCCTCCTTCATCTCTAATAATTAATTAAAAAATATTGATATCTCTGTGTTTTTCTTTCACTTTCATTTTCCAATCCTCACCTTCCCTACCCAGAGTCATCCCTTAGAGTAAAAGATCAAAGAAATGAAAAAAAAAATTTCAGCAAAACTAACCAACCTATTAGTGGAGTTAGAAATTGAATGGAGCGCTCCATACCCACCGCCTCTGTAACCAAGGGAGGGAGGTGCCTTCTCCGCTCTTTTTTGTCACCAAGCGTGGTCATTATCATTACACAGAGTTCAGTTTCAATTTTTGTTGCTCTTTGCATTTACATTCACAACTTTAAAAAAGCTTTTAAAAAGCTACCCCCAGACTTTTAAAACCACTTTCATATCACAATTAAAAATAAACAAACAAAAAAAGGTAAAAAAAAAATTGGGTCTCTAGAAATACTGCATAACCACATAATCTTCTTTGCGTACATTTTCTATAGTAAAACTTTCTGACTCCACATGCATACACACATATGTGTCTGTATGCATGCACATACGCACACATACAATACACACAATACATATAATGCACAAATGTACTCTGTAAGTTTATGCACATGCATGCATACAATACCTCTTTATGTATACATGCATATCTACATCTACATGTATCCCCAAGCTACTTCCACAAGACCTTTAGGCATTTAGTGGATGGATTTTGGAGGTAGCCTGTCAAGAACTGCCACCTAGTGGGGTCTCAGAGCAGTACAGTTGTATTTTTTTTTATGGTGGTAGTGACAGTGGTGAAGGCCTGAACTCATGATTTTATTTGTATAGGGAACGCCCCACTATGCAAACTCTCTCTGGTGATGTAGAGATCACTCTGCACTGTGCAGACTTGGAGAGTTGCCTGGGACAATAACAGGTGAATTGACTTTCCCAGGGTCACACAGGTTAGAGGGGAATTGAACTCACATCCTCCTGACTCTAAGGCCAGTTCTCTATTACCTATCCTAAGCTGCCTTTCATAGTACTTGGAGCATTACTTAGAACCAACTGCTTTATCTGCTTCATATTTTGTCATTGTATATAAGGGCAAAAAAAAAACTATTCCCTAGACATATAATAGTAAGAAAATGGTTCAGTTGGCAAAGGCATGAATTTGGATTCACTTTCTTATTATTTCAGACCCTAGAGATGCAATCAAGTCACCTAACCATAGGAGATAACATATGCCAAGGAAATCCCTCATGCTGTAATCCTGATTAATTTCTGCTAATAATGAAAATAATAACTGGTTTATAAATATCAACTGCCTTATCCCCAACTTCTTTTTTTAAAAATTTGAACATTTTTATTTTAAGTTTTGAGTTCTAAATTCTATCCTTTCCTCCCTCCCTTCCCCTCCTTGAGATAGGAAGCAATCAGATACCAGGTTATACATGTGCAATTATGTAAAATATTTCCACATTAATCATTTTGTACAAGATGACTTGAATAAAAGAAAAAAAATGGAAGAGTGAAAACATAGCCTGTTTCAGTCTGCATTCAATCAGTATCAGTTTTTTCTCTGGAGGCAGACAATATGCTTCATCATTAGTCCTTTGAGATTATCTTGGATCATTGTATTGATGAGAATAGTTAAGTGATTCACAGTTATTCCCTGAACAATATTCAACTCTTTTTAAAGAAGATGAGTGAAAGAGAGGAACTATCAATAGAAATGAGGGGGAAAAAAAAAGGAGAGCCGTCATTTAAAATGTTCACAGAAGAGAAGATAGAGACTAGAAAGATAGGTATAAAACTAATGCTGAATTTATTGTATCCTTTAAAAAATAGAAGATGTGCTTAAGAGATTTGTGATTCTACACGGAATCCTCTTTTTTCATTCTTCTGTATTGATTTTGTTGTTCTGTTGTTTCATTTGTAACCCCATGTGGGGTTTTCTTAGCAGAGATAGTGGAATGGTTTGGCATTTCTCTCTCCAGCTCATTTTACAGATGAGGAAACTGAGGTAAACAGGGTTAAATGACTTGCCCAGGGTCACACAGCTAGTAAGTGACTGAGGCCAGATTTGAACTTAGGAAGATGAATATTCCTGACTCCAGGCCCAGCACTCTATCCACTGTACCAATAATAATAATTTACTAAGTACTTATTATGAGTTCAGCACTCCACTAAATGGGAATTAAAAAAAAAAAAGACAAAAACAAAGTCCCTGCCTTCAAGGAGCTCACATTCTAACGAGAGAGATAACATGCAAACAAGTCCGCGTAGACAAGATACACACAGTGTAAACAGGAGGCACTCTCAGAGTGAAGGCACTGTTGGGGCACAGGGAAGGAGGTGAAGACTCCTGCAGAAGGTGGGTGAAAAGTTTGGAAAGTAGTCAGGGAAGCCAGAAAGCAGAGATGAGGAGGGGGAGCATTCCAGGAACGGGAAAAGGCTTGCAGGAGGCAGATGGAGCGTCACGTGGGAGAAATAATAAGTAGCATGGATCTTATAGCCATGGAAGGGAGTGAGGTATAAGAAGACAAGAAAATTAGGAAAGGCCAGGTCTTAAAAGTCAAACATAGGATTTTATACCTCTTCGATTGTGAAGGAAAAGGGGAGCTAATGGAGTTTCCTGAGTTGGGTCTGACACAGACCTATACTTTGGTTTTTGGTTTGGTTTTTTTTTTGCTTTTTGGTGAGGCAATCGCGGTTAAGTGACTTGCCCAGGGTCACACAGCTAATAAGTGTCAAGTGTCTAAGGCTGGATTTGAACTCAGGTCCTCCTGACTCCAAGGCCAGAGATCTATCCACTGTGCCACCTAGTTGCCCCTCAGACCTATACTTTGAGAAAAATCACTTTAGTAACTAAGTGGAAGACAGAATGCAGTGGGGAGAGACTTAAGGCGGGAAGAACAATCAGAAGGCTCTTGAAATAGTCCAAGAGAGAAGGCTTAGGAGAGATGTTGTGAAGACAGAAGTGACATGAGTTGGCAATGAATTGGATATGTGTGGGTTAAGTACAAAAGAGGATGAAATGGGAGGATGGTGGTGCTCTTAACAGTAATGTTATTGTTCAGTTGTTTCACTTGTGTCTATGACTCTACATGACTCCACTGCAGGTGTTCTTGGCAAAGATACTGAAGTGGTTTGGCATTTCCTTCTCCAGCTTGCTTTACCGATGAGGAAACTGAGGCAAACGGGTTTAAGTCCCTTGCCTAGGGTCACACAGCCCAGAAGTGTCTGAGGCCAGATTTGAACTCAGGAGGATGAGTCTTCCTGACTTCAGGCCCAGCACTCTACCCACTGTGCCACCTAGCTGCTGTCTTAACAGTAACAGGGAAACAGATCAGAGGATAGGGGTTGGGAGGAGGGAAGCCTATTCTGAACAGTTAAGTTTGAGATTCTATGAGAGATCCAATTTGAGGTGTCCAAGAGGCAGACGGTGATGCGAGACTGGAGCTCAGCGTAGAAGCTAGGGATCAATAAACAGAACTGGGAATCATCTTCATTAGGATGATAATTGAACCCACAAGAACTCATGAGATCACTAAGTGAGACAACATAGAAAAGAAAAGAGAAAATGGCCTAGGACAGTCTTGGATACACTCACAATTAGTAGGTACGACCTGGAGGAAAACCTAGCAAAGGAGACAGAGGAGCCAGACACATATGGCAGCTAGGTACTGCAGTAGATACAGCACAAGCCCCAAGTTCAAATGTGACCTCAGACAGTTACTAGCTGAGTGACTCTGAGCAACTCATTTAACTTGTTTGCCTCAGATTCCTCATCTGCAAAATGGGGATGACAATAACACTTACCTCCCCAGGCTGGGGTGAGCATAAAATGAGATATTTGTAAAACACTAGTTAAATGCTAGTGATTACAATTTGGAAAACCAGGAGAGATCAGTGTCACAAAGACCTAGACAGGAGAGAGAGTATCCAGGAGAAGGTGATCAATAGTGTCAAAGGCTGAAGAGAGGATGAAGACTGAGAAAAGGTGGTTAGATTTGTCAATAAAGAGATTAATGGGGGCAGCTAGGTGGCGCAGCGGAAAGAGCTCCAGCCTTGGAGTCAGGAGGACCTGAGTTCGTATTTCGGCCTCAGACACTTGACACTAGCTGTGTGATCCTGAGCAAGTCACTTAACCTTGACTGCCTCACCAAAAACAAAAACAAAACTGAAAAAAAAAAAAAGAGAGATTAATGGTAACTTTGGAGAGACCTCATCAGTAAACCAGGGACAATAATACTTTCACAGCCTACTTCACAGGGCTATTAAGAATAAAACAATTGTTACATGGCAAACAGGTAGTGTGATATAGCGGATATAGTGCTGAAATTGGAGTTAGGAAGACCTGGGTTCAAATCCTGCCGCAAATACTCACTAGCTATGTGACCCTGTGCAAGTCACTTAACTCAGTTTCCTCAGCTACAATGAAGGGGAGGATCTGATGGCCTCTAAGGTCTCTACCATTTCTAGATCCATTATTCTATGATCTACAGTCCTATGAAATAAAGTTAAATATTACCTTTACTGCTGCAATGAACGATGGTTACTCCAGTAAATACACTGTGTACTTTTCCATTTAACCTACAAGATAAAGATGGTGTCATACATTTCTCATTTTTCACACTACAGTCCTGAAAAACAACAATTTCCTCTCTAGCTGAAGAATAGCCAAGAAAAATCACATTTACTAAATACATCTACCCCTACAACTACATTTCATAAATTGTATTTTAATTCCCCTCCCCCAGAATATCTGGTATCTTGTCTCCTTCATCCTTCTAGTCACTAGTTCTAAGACATCAATCAATTTGTTTTTTTTTATTTTTATTTTATTTTTTTTAAGGCAATTGGGGTTAAGTGACTTGCCTAGGGTCACACATCTAGTAAGTGTCAGATGTTTGGTCCGAAGCCGAATTTGAACTCAAGTCCTCCTGACTTCAGGGCCGGTGCTCTATCCACTGAGCCACCTAACTGCTCCGCATCAATCAATTTGTAAAGCTATTAGTGAATGTTAACTGACTGTGCTATTTTAACTCTTCAGTTCTAAAATTCATAACATCTATTGGTTGAAGCCTCCTAACAGAAGGTACACGCACCCATGAGAGAAAAAAAAAACCTTCACAAATGGCAATGGAGGTGTGGCTAAGCCATGCTATAGGAGACTAAAGCGTAGGGATTTAAGGAGTCTCACACCCTAAGTGATATTTGAGGACAGGCTGTAGCATATGAATAGAAAAATTTGGGAATCTCGAATAATCTATTACTTTTCTCAAAAAACTACCATATTAGTGCTTGGCTCTTCTTAAGAAAGTATTAATAGGGGCAGCTACGTAGTGCAGTGGATAAAGTTCTGTCCCTGGAGTCAGGAGGACCTGAGTTCAAATTTGGCCTCAGACCAGACACTTGACACTCATTAGCTGTGTGACCCTGGGCAAGTCACTTAACCTTAATTGCCTCACCCCCCCCCCCCAAAAGCTGGGAAAATAGAGGTTCCGTGAATTGCCCAGAGTCACATAACTAAAGTGTCTGAAATGTGATTTGACCTCAGGTCTTCCTGATTCCAAGTCCAGCACTCTACACATCACTTTACCTATCTGTGTTTTGTCTGTGGTCACTTAACTGGTAAGAAAGAGAATATTCAAATTCTAGACAATTGAAATGGATTCTTATGCAGAAATTTTTCTGGAATAAATAGTAACAATAGCTTATATCTAGTAATTTAAGGTTTGTAAAGCATTTTACATATGTTATCTAATTCACAACAACCCTGTGATCTGAGTACTGTTTTTATCCCCATTTTAGAGATGATGAAACTAAGGCTCAGAGGATTTAAGTTGGGGAAGGGAAGGGAAAGAACATGCATTTATGCAGTGCATACTACGTGCTAGGTACTATGCTACTTACACAGTTTTAGGGTTGAGTGTTTTGGGTTTTTTTTTTAAGCAAATATCTCATCTGTTTATCTCAACAACACTATAAAGTAGATGCTGTTATTATCCCCATTTTACTGATGGGGAAACTGAGGCAAACACATAGCCAATAATGATTGGCGCTCAGGTCTTCTTGATTCTAGGCCTGGTGCTCAATCTACTCTACCACCAGCCACCTCCATAACTTAAGGGAGTTGCTGAGGGTCCACACAGATATTATTTGCCTGAGAGCTGAATAGGATAGTTCACAGGCTACAACATGTCCCTTAAAGAACCTGAAATTTCCTTTGCTCTAATTCTTTGCACATCAAGCAGCCTTCAACTTGGGAAAGCAATTAAATCAACCCACTAGAGAAGCATACCCTGTTCAGATAAGCAGTGTGGTTTTCAGGCCAATTATGTCCCCTATTGCAGTAAATTTGGTATTGGAGTTTGTCACTTTTTTTGTAAGCTTGACTGATTTGTGTCCTCCCTCTCCCCACTCTTACCCCCCAGCTTCAGCAGCCCTAGCTAAGTGGGTAAAATTGGCAACAGATGTTTCAAGGTTTGCACCCCAATTTGGAACGTAGTCATCCCATCATACCTATAGAATAAGGGAAGCTTAGAGTTGCAAGACACCTCAGCAACCATCTTGTCCAATTCAGACCCAAAAGGAATCCCTTCTACATTATACCTGACAAGGAATCATCTAGTTTTTGTTAAAGATGTTCAGTGAAAAGGAATCCATTATTTCAGGAAGCAGCTCATTCCACTTTTGGATGGCTCTGATGAGAAGTTTTGGGTTTTTTTTTTTTACATAAAGCTTACCTCTTGGTACCTTCCATGATTTGCTCTGAGCTTTGCCCTCTGGACCCAAGCAGAACACAGCAAATCCTCTTTCTTTTCTTTCTTTCTTTCTTTTTTTTTAAAATAATATTTTCCCCCAATTACATGTAAAAACAATTTTCATCATTTTTTTTAAAAATTTTGAATTCCAAATCCCCTCCCCCCCACAACCACTCTCTCTGAAGCGGTAATTTTATATGTATTATACATGTGCAATCATGTAAAACATATTTCCGTATTAGTCATGTTGTGAAAGAAAACACACAAAAAAAACACATAAAAAAAGTGTAAAAAAATAGTATGCTTCAATCTTCATTCAGACTCCATCATCAGTTCTTCTGCTGCAGGTGGATATTGTATTGTATTGCTGAGAATAGATAAGTTATTCACAGTTGATCTCGTAAGATGTTGCTGTTACTATGTACAGTGTTCTCCTGGTTCTGCCCACTTCACTTTGCATCACTTTGTGTGAGTTTTTCCAGGTTTTTCTGAAATCATCCTGCTCACTGAATCCCTCTTTCAAATGACAACTCTTCAAATACTTGAAGCTGTCATATTCTTTCCTAGTCTTTCCTTCTCCAGGTTAAATTACCCCATTTGCTTCAGCTAGACTTCATATAGCAGTAACTTGGTTGAGATCCTTCACTGTTCTGGTTATCCTCCTCTGGTACTTGCTGGCACCCTTCAGCCTATCAATGTCCTTCCAAAAAATGTGTCACCCAGAATTGAATAGAGTACTGTAGGTGTAGTCATACTGAAAGGTCAGTATGCAGAGGGACTATCCCCTCCATAATCCAGAGGCCCTTCTCGGAACAATGAAGTGTTTGAAATTACAGTATGTATGGGTATTAATACTATTTTTTTTGGTGAGGTAATCGGGGTTAAGTGACTTGCCCAGGGTCACACAGCTAATAAGTGTCAAGTGTCTATTGCGCCACCTTGCAACCCCTTTTCCCAGCTTTAAAATGAGAAAAGCCCTCACAGGCTTGTTATGAGAATCAAAGGAGATAATATATTTAAAGCACTACATAAATACTACTACTATTATTATTATTAACCCCTATGAGCCTCATCGTATTTTTTGGAGAGAAAAGGATTCTAAACTTTTAATTTCATCAGCTTAGGATAACACCAATGGGAAAGCTCCCTCCATTTGTCCATACAGACTGATATTCATCTATATCTATCTATATTTACATAGACATATATAAAATTTAATCCTAAAGAGTTGACCTAGGACCTGAAAGATTTAAGTGAATTGACCATGGTCATCAGTTAGTATATGTCAGAGGTGGGTTTTGAACTCAGTCCTTTATGACTCCAAGGCTAGTCTTCTAGACACTTCATTATGTTTTAATTAAGTAGGGATAATCACTGTAGCACCTACCAGAGGCCCACCTCAGATAATGCAAGTAAAGCACCTTGAAAACTTGAGATAGTGATATGAATGCCGGCTCTCACCCCTATAAATTAGAGGATATTTTAATTAATAATCAATTAATCAGATAATTAATTAATCTGGCAGCCTGATAAATTGTCCTGTTCCATTTCAGAACAATCTCTGAATTCAGAAACAGCAGCATTTGCCTAGAATTTGAGCATCCTCTTCTTTCTTTCTTTCTTTTTTTTTTTTGGTGAGGCAATCAGGGTGAAGTGACTTGCTCAGGGTCACACAGCTATTAAATATTAAGTGCCTGGGGTCAGATTTGAATTCAGGTCCTGTTGACTCTAGGGCCATTACTCTATCCACTGTGTCACCTACCTGCCCCCGAGCATCCTCTTTGTTAAACATTAGAAAGGCAATGGCAAGCTCTAGTCTCCCTTTTTAATTTTATCTATTACTGACAAAACTCTTCTTTCATTTGTTTCATTCATGTCACACTTTCTGTTTTCAGTTTATTTTAGGTCACATATTTTCTCATGGCTGCTTCCTGTGTTACTACCATTTGTTTTCTGCCCTTGACTCCAGATTAGGGGGCACAGCCTATTTTGAAACCTGAGGGTGTCTATCTACAGATTAAGTTACAAACCAGTGAAAATAATGAAAATACAATCAAGTATGAAAAATCCAAAGTTTAGGTTTTCACAATGACTAAAACTTTTTTTAAGCTGAGTATTTGTTAGGTTTTATTAAAATAGCTGCAAAATTAAGTTTAAAGTCTTAAAATTAAGATGCAACATAGATAAGTCTCATATGTAGCAAGAAAGTACTCTAAAGTTGCTCCCCCACCACCGACCTTGACAGCATGTTATAGGCATCTTGCTTATCGGTTGGCTTCTCCAGGATTAGTCCATCCACCGTCTGAAACAAGAAAGAAGGTGAGGAGGTAGCGATGAGAGAAGAAAAGCATGTCATTTTCATACCTAGTAACTGAAATCTGAAGAATGCCATGCTATTCAATTTGTATCTAATAGATGTGACTTTTCCACTGAAGTCCTGCTCTGATGCCACATTGTGGTTTGGAAAGGACCCAGGGTTCTCCAAGGCAGTTCCAGTGCAATGCCAGCTCTGCCAGTGTGCAACCCACAGAGCTTAGAAAAGCTTGGAGGAAAGGACTATGGGTAGATTATATGCCTTGTGCCCCAGGGGAAGCTTTGCTCAATTTGTATAGGCACATCAACTAGTTAGCTTCAATGTTGTATATTTTTCAGCCACAGCGGTTCTCAAAGACTATCTAGCGAGCCATGGATGTAATCTTCTAGGCTGTACAGTAGATAAAGTGTTGAACTAGAAGTCTGATACACCTGAGTTCAAATCTGGCCTTGGTTACTTACCAGCTGTGTGATCCTGGGCAAGTCACTTAATCGATGGCTGCCTTAGTTTCTCCATCTGTACAATGGGTATCGTAATGGCACCTACCTCCCAGGCTTGCCATGAGGATAAAATGAGGTGATTTATTATGACTTCATTTTGTCTTTGTATCCGTAGCACTAAGCTACTGCTTAGCACAAAGAAGGCACTTAATAAATGCTTACTCACTGATATTTGGGTTGAGATCTACATTGGCAAAGGGAGTACTCTTTACACCACTAGCAGAATAACAATAATAATGATAATTTATATAGAGCTTACTATGTGCAAGGCACCGTGCGAAGTGCTTATACACTGGAGAAGGTACAGAAAATGATACAAGTGTTCTGACTAGGTCTGCTACAAATTTACATTACACAACCTCAACTGGGTCCTCACTGCTGCTAGGCAATCCTACTATACCTCCTTGATCAACTCAGTATCCCTCTCTCCACAGAGGCTTTCCTGAACCTTTTCATCCCTCCTTAAACCTCCCATGGCTTCCTCCTTTGCCCCACTCTCAACCGAGAACTTAGTCTCATATTTTACAGAAAAAAATTGAGGCCATTCATCACGAACTCCCTCTTCTCCCCTCTTCCTCATCTCCTATCACTTAGGTGCCTTCTGCTACTCTTTCCTCCTTCAGCCCTGTCTCACATGATGAAGTGGCCTCACTCCTTACTAAGGCTAATTCCTCTAATGGTTCAGGTGATCCCATTCTATCCCATCTCCTCCAACAGACTTCTCCCTCTGTCACCCCTACTCTCACTTATTTTCAACCTTTCCCTGTTTACTGGCTCATTTTCTATGCCTACAAACATGCCATGTCTTCCCTATCCTGGAAGAACACTCACTTGATCCTTCCATCCCTGCTAATTATTGTTCCATTTCTCTTCTGCTCTTTGTAGCTGAACTCTTTGAAAAGGGCATCCACAATAGGGGTCTCCACTTTCTCTTGTGAATTTGAACTCAAATCTTCCTGAATCTAGGCCAAGTGCTCTATCCACTGCCTCACTGAGCTGGCCTATGAGAAAGCCTTTTCTCAAGTTAACAAAAGATGATAATTACTAAATGATTGTCACCTGCCTCATTTTTTCAAATGAGGAAACTGAGGTTTAGGACATCCATAATTCCATGGAGGCTTTGATGTGCAATTTGTCCAATTGGAAAAAAGAGATGGAAAGATATCTATGCCTATTACAGAACTATGCTTAGCACTGGAGCACGCAGGAGTCATGCCTACCCTTGCATACAAGCTAGTTTGGGGATTTAGGCAGGAGCCCAGCCAGAGTCAAATTCCTGGGGGCAGTACAGCCAAACACAGGGCTGTAATAGAAGCCAGGTAATTGGGTTTTTTTCAGGGGCAGTTTACAGGCATAATCTTCTCTGCAAATAACCCAAAGGCAACTAAACCACTTGATTTATCTCTAGAATCACAGAACCAAAACTGAAAAGGCATTGGAAAGCGTAATGGACTTAGAAAACAGGGGGCCAGAGTTCAAAGTCCAGTATCTATGCTTGGTTATGTGACCTTGCATAATTAACTACATCTCTCAGCCTCAGTTTCCTGAACCATAAAATGGGATTAATAATATTACACTGAAGATGTCCCGGGTTCTGTGAGGTAGTAAATAAGAAATTGTTCTTGGAATCAGAAAGGTCTGGGTTTAACCTTCTCATTACCCCGGGTAATGTTCTTAACTATAAATTACAGAGAAGGTGCTGATATTCTTTGGCAGTAGGAGCTTCCTTCGAGGAAAGTCCAAATGCCAGATATAATGGGAGCTCAGGCAGGCTCCTAGAGTTGTTGAAGCCCCTATGCAGGTAGGCTCTATCCACTTGGAGCTTGACATACCTGGTGGTTTAAATTATTGTTATTCAGTCATTTTCAGTCACATCTAACTCTTTGTGACCCCATTTGGGGTTTTCTTAGCAAAGATGTTGGAGTAGTTTACCATTTCCTTCTCTTTTTCATTTCACAGATGAGGAAACTGAGGCAAACAGTGTTTAAGGGACTTGCCCAGGGACACATCCGAGTATCCGAGGCCATATTTGAAATAGGAAGATAATCTTTCTGACTTTAGGCCTGGCACTCTATGCACTATGGCGCCACCTAGTGGCCCTTTCGGTTTGAATTATCAGAAAACAGAAATCCTTTTTTGAGCTCCAACTGCCTGGAGGCGGCTTCCTTTAGTTTCTCTTGCAGTGACTGCAGACTGGGAGCTGTATTTTATATTCCTTTTATTCCTGTATTTATGGGTTTAAAAATTCAATTATCCAAGTTGTCTCAGCTAGATTTTCTAGTTCCCAAGTACTTACTGAATTTTTTAAAAAGGGGGGAAAAAAAAAACTCTTACACTTGCTAGCCATATTTAGACTTAGCCCACAATGCCAATGACATCACAAGTACAGTGTACATACACAAAGGCAAATAAATAAACACAACTGCATCATTTACTTCACTGGGGAGTTGTGCTGCATAGGGGAGTAACGTGCTATTCAGAGGTGGTGTGGTGTAATGGATAAAGCAGTCACCTGAGAGCAGGACCTAGCTTCTACTCTGGCACTCTGGGGATATTTTGAGCCGCTAGGTGGCGCAGTGGATAGAGTGTTGGGCCTGGAGTCAGGAAGATTCATCTTTCTGAGTTCAAATCTGGTCTCAGACTCTTACTAGCTGTGTGACCCTGGGTAAATCATTTAATCCTGTTTGCCTCAGTTACCTCATCAGAAGAGAGCTGGAGAAAGATATAACAAATCACTCCAGTATCTCTGCAAAGAAAACCCCAAATGGGGTCACAAAGAGTCAGACACAACTGAAAAATGACTGAACAATTCTACGAATTTCATTCACATAAGTAACCCTGACTGCAAAAGATGTTTCATACACCAGGAGAACGTTGTACACAGAAAAGCCACGTTGTGCTATGACTAATATTGATAGACTTAACCCTTCTCAGCAATACAAGGATCTAAGACATCTCCAAAGGCCTCATGATGGAAAATGCTGTCCACATCCAAAGAAAGAACTATGGAGTTTGAATGCTGATCGAAGCATACTATTTGCTATTTTTTTCTTCTTTTGTGTTTTATTTCCTCTTTCTGGTGGTTCCTCCTATTGGTTCTAATTCTTCCTTACAACATGACTAATGTGAAAATATGTTTAATAGGAATGTATATGTATAGCCTATATCAGATTGTGCGCCATCTTGGGGAGGGAGGTGGGGGAGGGGGAGAAAAATTTAAAACTCAAAAGCTTATGGAAGTGATTGTTGATAATTCAAAATAAATTAATTAAAAAAAGATGTTTCATGCATATGCAAGCAACAAAATCAAAACAAACCAAGTAAGTGTTATCTCATCTGCAGATATTAGATTGCTAGCAAACTGAGGGGCTACCATCTTCATACTACAACATACAGTGAGCACCTCAATTTCCTTATCTACAAACTAGATCCGTTATATTAACATTAATTTAATTTACAACATATCAAAGTCTAGATGTGGAAAGAGTCCTCAAAGTACTAAAGAGAGCAGGGGTTCTTAACCTGGCATCCATGGATTCTTTCCTCATCAAGGGATCCACAGAGAAATTTCGGGGGGGGGGAGTCTATGAATTTGGATTATTTCAATATATTTGTAATTCTATGTATTTTATTTCATTCATTTAAAAATATTGTAAGAAAGGGTCTATAGGCTTCCCCTGACTGCCAAAGGTGTCCAAGGAACAAAACAACTCTTGCAGAATTTTTTGGGGGGTTGGACCTTTCTTTGGGATATGCCCAGACTTATGATTTCATTGATGAAAAAACTTCCCCTATCAATGTGGAATGACATCTTCCTTGGTAATTTTTTTTTTTGGTTAGGCAATGGGGTTAAGTGACTTGCCCAGGGTCACAGAGCTAGTAAGTGTTATGTGTCTGAGGCCGGATTTGAACTCAGGTACTCCTGAACTCAGGGCTGGTGCACTAACCACTAAGCCACCTAGCTGCCCCAAGAGAGGTTTTTTTTTTTTTTTTCCGATTTGCAGGCAACTGGGGTTAAGTGACTTGCCCAAGGTCACACAGCTAGTAAGCGTCAAGTGTTTGGTCTGAGGCCGGATTTGAACTCAGGTCCTCCTGACTTCAGGGCCAGGACTCTACCCACTGTGCCACCTAGCTGCCCCCTCCTTCGTAACTTACAGTCTTGAGGAGTTGCACAGACTGAGAACTGAGAAGTCTAGGGAAGAATTCAGGGTCAGATGGCCAGGATGTCAGTGGCAGGATTTAAGGCTGGTCTTCCTAACTCTCAAGGCAGCTTTCTGGATACTATGCCACACCCCTTCTCTACACAGAGGATAATACATTCCAACTCTTATAATTAACACATTATAAAATGAGCTCCCTGTGTGGTAAGCAGAAAGATCCCTGGTTCTAGAGTTCAAATCCAGCCTCTGATGTTTATTTTTGTGTGACCTCAGTCAACTCAAGTAACTTACTAGGCCTGAGTTTCCTCATCTGTAAAATGAAAAGACTAGACTAGATGGACTCCCCTCTATTATATATACACATTATATATTCTATTATATACATATATATTATATGTAACACAACATTGGTTGGTTGTTGTCCTTTTTTCTTGAAGAGAAGCAAAATGACATTAGTATGTTAGAGTCAAGTTACAGTACGTCCATCTGCGGCTGATCAGATCAACATGAGGTCGGAATGCTCTACTATGGGTTGGGCACAAATAGGCCATGTGAACACTTGGGGTGGATTCTCTAGATTTGCGCATCTCACGTTTCTTTTGAGTTACTTCAATTCTGCTTTGCTTATAGAGCACAGCACCTTCACTGATGTGGGCACACCATGCTGAGCGGTCCTGTACCAGTGTCACACAATCAATTCCAAAATTCTTTTTTTTTTGCTTTTTTTTTTTGGTGAGGCAATCGGGTTTAAGTGACTTGCCCAGGGTAACATAGCTAGTAAGTGTCAAGTGTTTGAGGCCAGATTTGAACTCAGGTCCTCCTGATTCCAAGGCTAGAGCTTTATCCACTACACCACCTAGCTGCCCCAATTCCAAAGTTCTTAAGAGAGACCTTGAGGGTGTCTTTGTATCAGTTTTTCTGACCACCATGTAAACACTTGCCCTGTGTGAGTTCTCCATAAAATAGTCTTTTTGGCAAGCATACATTAGGCATTCGAACAACGTGGCAGTCTATCCGAGTTGCACTCTCTGCAGCAGAGTTTGAATGCTTGGGAGTTTAGTTTGAGAAAGGACCTCAGTGTCTGGCGTATTATCCTGCCAGGTGATCTTCAGAATCTTCCTAAGACAATTCAAATGGAAATGATTCAGTTTCCTGGTATGTCACTGGTATACTGTCCAGGTTTCACAGGCATACAAGTGAACTGAATCACTTCCATTATATACATACATATTATATGTAATAGAATAAATTCTATGTGTGTGTGTGTGTGTATATATATATATATACACATACACATATGCAAATATAAGTATGTATACACACACACAATACATATATATGTATATTTTGTTGTTGTTGAATCATTTCAGTCCTGACTCTTTGTGACCCCATCTGAGGTTTTCTTGGCAAAGATACTGGAATGGTTCATCATTTCCTTCTCCAGCTCATTTTACAGCTGAGAAACCAAGGCCAACAGGTTTAAGTGACTTGCCCAGAGTCACACAACTAATAAGTATCTGAGGTCAGATTTAAACTCACTAAGATGAGTTTTCCTGACTCAAGCCCCTGCACTCTATGCACTGTGCTACCTGGCTGCCTTATATATTCTGAATTTAATAAACCAAATAAAATGGGCATTTCTACATATACTGTGTAACAGAAGAAGAAAACTGTACTGACCTCTGAGCTTCTTTCTAGCTCTATGATTTTATAATCTAGTCCAAGGACCCCAGAATGCCTTTGTTAAATATGTAGGACACCTTTCCCCAACAGCACTGGAAGGAATGCCTTGGTGTTATAAATCTATTTGTTTCTATTTTTCGTTTTTGGCATTTGAACTTTTTTTTTTTTAAAGGCAATTGGGGTTAAGTGACTTTTCCAGGGTCACACAGCTAGTAAGTGTCAAGTGTTTGCTCTGAGGCCGCATTTGAACTCAGGTCCTCCTGACTTCAGGGCTGGTGCTCTATCTACTGCGCCACCTAGCTCCCCCCAACATTTGAACTCTTTTCAAGCTCTTATTATTATTATTATTCTTTTTTTGGTGAGGCATTAGGGGTTAAGTGTCTTGCCCAGGGTCATACAGCTAGTTAAGTGTCAAGTGTCTGAGGCCAGATTCAAGCTCTTATTTTAAATGAGCATATTTTTCCCACTGTCCATAGTTGGGAAGCAATTCCCTAAATGAAAAGACTAATTACATTCCCAAAACAAGTAGAAAGCATTTAGTAGGACACATGCAGAATGTTAGATTAATGAGAAATAATTGCAAAGAATCAAGGTAAAGAAGAAAGGTGAATGGTAAGGAAAGGAAGCCATCCAAAGCCAAGCATGGAAAACTTACCACAATAGTGTCTGCTCCTATAACAACGTCTGGAGGTCTAAAGTCTTTCTGTTAAAATTAAAATACTTTTTGAAATAAATGTTTTTAAAAAGTTTCTATCACCCCACCCCCTCAAAAAAGACAATGTCGATGAATTTAGACACCACGAAGTCATCATCAATACAAAGTTGATGTCGCAATTTGGAAATCAGCCGGAAAGAAATGGTTAGCTAAAACAATAATAAAACAGGATAATATTATTAAGAATTAATAATAAGAAAAGAAGGACTAATTAATCTTACTAATAAGAACAGGCTCAAACATATACCACAGTCTTTTTTATTTTTTATTTTTTGGTGAGGTGATCAGGGTTAAGTGACTTGCCCAGGGTCACATAGCTAGTAGGTGTTAAGTGTCTGAGGCTGGATTTGAACTCAGGTCCTCCTGACTCCAAGGCCAGAGCTCTATTCACGGTGCCACCTAACTGTCCTTACCAGTCTTTTAATGAGAACAAACATTAGCAGTACAGTCTATGTTAAAAAGGCAGTCAGGTAATGTAGTGAGTAGAATATGGGGATCTGTAATCAGAAAGCCCTGAGTTCAAATACTGTCTCAAACATTTACTAGCTGTGTGACCCTGGACAAGTCACTTAATAATAATAATAATTAATAATAATAATGATAATGATAATGATATATAACACTTCTATAGCACTTACTATGTGCCAGGCACTTTACTGTTATTACCTGATTTGATTTTTCACAACAACCCTGGAAAGTAGGTACTATTATTTTTCCCATTTTACAGATGAGGAAACAGAGACAGATAGAGGTTAAGTGACTTGCCCCAGGTCACACTGCTAGTAAGCGCCTGAGACTGGATGTGAACCAATAAAGTAATAGTTAACATTTATATTGCACTTACTATGTGCTAGGAAATAAGTGCTTTATAATTATTATCTCATTTAAGGTACTTGCTATTATCCCCATTTTAAGGATAAGGAAACCGGAGCAAATAAAGATTAAGTGACTTGCCCAGGGTCACAGGGCTCTGTGTGAGGTCAGATTTAAATTCAGGTCTTCCTGACTTTAGGTCCATCACTCTATCCACTGCACCACTTACCCTCCAATACTTAACCTCTCTCTGCCTCAGTTTCCTCATCTCTAAAATAAGGATAATAATAGCACCTACCTCACAGAGTTGTTGTGGGAACAAAATGAGATGTTTACAAAATACTTTGTACACCATAAAAAGGGGTGCATGATTTCCATCAGATCAAAACTGGACACAAGGTTAGAGTTGCAAAACTAGAAATTTTCAGCACCACAGGAAAAGCAAGAGGTCTCTTCCCTTCCTTCTTTTAGAGTCCTTCTTTTCCCCTCATTCTTTTAAAGTTGCCCCTTCCCTCAAAAGCTCTTCCAACAGGGATGGGGAACCTCCAGCTAACATAAGTCAGACTGAAGCACTTGCCCTCTCATCCCACTATCCTCTGAAGTAATGTTGGTCTAGCCCTAGCCTCTGAAAGCATGATAATACCAGAAGAAAACTGTGAAGAGTAGTAAACCAATTTATTCCTTATTCTTTCTTTATTTATTTTTGGTTAGGCAATGGGGTTAAGTGACTTGTCCTGGGTCACACAGCTAGTAAGTGTCAAGTGTCTGAGGCTGGATTTGAACTTAGGTCCTCCTGATTCCAAGGCAATTTATTTTTTATTATTAAAACTTTGGGGTTCCCACCACTTTATCCCAACTTGGAAATATCTAATGAATAAACTGTTAAAGGAAAAAGGTAAATGAGAATGTGACTTTTGGGGAGTGGGGAGAGGAAAGGACCCAAACAATTAAAAAAATGCTATTCAGTAGGTAACCTGAAAGCCCTGGTTTCTTTAAGGAAAAGATAACATGTGCTAGTATTTATATAATGCTTTAAAGTTTGAAAAGTGTTTTCCAAATATCTCCCTTTATCCCCAAAACAGTTCTTTTTTTTTTTTTTTTTTACTGACAAAAGCTTTGTGGTATCTTTTTAATTTTTTTTAAAAATCTAGTTCTATTACACTTCTACTAATTGTTTCAGGTTCCTTTAATATAAAATATAACTTTCATTTAAATTTATTTTGGTTTTCAACATTTACTTCCACAAGATTTTGAGTTCCAAATTTTCACCCCATCTCGCCCCTCCCCCCACCCCAAGATGGCATGCATTCGGAATACCCCTTCCCCTAGTCTGCCTTCCCTGCTATCTCCCCCCGCCCCTTCCCCTTCTATCTTCCTGTAGGGCAGGATAGATTTCTGTAACCCATTTCCTGTATTTTTTATTTTCCAGTTGCATGTGAAAACTTTTTTTTTTTAAACTTTTTTTTTTAAACTTTGGGTTCCAAATTTTCTCCCTTCCTCCCTCCCCACCCACCCTCATTGAAAAGGCAAGCAAAATATAGGCTATACATGTGCAGTTATGCAAAACACTTCCATAGTAAAATGCTGTGAAAAACTAACTCTATTTCTCTTAATCCTATCCCGCCCCCCCATTTATTCTATTCTTTCTTTTGACCTTGTCCCTCCTCAGAAGTGTTTGCTTCTGATTACTCCCTTTCCCAATCTGCCCTCCTCTCTATCATTCCCCTACTCTCTTGTCCCCTTCCCCCCCTATTTTCCTGTAGGATAAGATAGATTTCCATACCCAATTGAGTGTGTATGTTATACCCTCCTTAACTCAAATCCTATGAGAATAAGATTCACTCATTTCCTCTCACCTTCCCCCGGTTTCCCTCCACTGTAAGAGCCTTTTCTTTTCTGCTTTTTTTGTGAGATAATTTACCTCGTTCTACCTTTCCTTTTCTCCTTCTCCTAGTATAATCCTTTCTCACCCCTTAATTTTATTCTCCAGATATGACCCCTTCATCTTCAACTCACTCTGTGCCCTCTATCTATCTATCTATCTATACATACATATAATTTTTCCCCTCCAACTACCCTAATACTGACAAAGGTCTCATGAGTTACAAATATCATCTTTCCATGCAGGAATGTAAACAGTTCAACCTTAATAAGTCTCTTATGATTTCTCTTTCCTGTTTACCTCTTCATTTTCCACTTGAGTCTTGTATTGGAAAGTCAAATTTTCTATTCAGCTCTGGTCTTTTCATCATAAATGCTTGAAAGTCCTCTATTTCACTGAATGACCATTTCTTCCCCTGAAGAATTATACTCAGTTTTGCTGGGTAGGTGATTCTTGGTTGTAATCCTATCTCCTTTGCCCTCTGGAATATTATATTCCATGCCCTGTGGTCCCTTAATGTAGAAGCAGCTAAATCTTGTGTTATCCTGATTGTGTTTCCACAATACTTGAATTGTTTCTTTCTGGCTGCTTGTAATATTTTCTCCTTGACCTGGGAACTCTGGAATTTGGCTACAATATTCCTAGGAGTTTTCCTTTGGGGATCTCTTTCAGGAGGTGATTGGTGGATTCTTTCAATTTCTATTTTGCCCTCTGGTTCTAAAATATCAGGGCAGTTTTCCCAGATAATTTCTTGAAAGATGATGTCTATTCTCTTTTTTTGATCATGGCTTTCAGATAGTCCAATAATTTTTAAATTCTCTCTCCTGGATCTATTTTCCAGGTCAGTTGTTTTTCCAATGAGATACTTCACATTGTTTTTTAATTTTTCATTCTTTTGGATTTGTTTTACAGTGTCTTGATTTCTCATAAAGTCACTAGCTTCCAATTGCTCTATTCTAATTTTTAAGGAAGTATTTTCTTCAGTAATCTTTTGGACTTCCTTTTCCATTTGGCCAATTTTGTTTTTTAGGGCATTCTTCTCCTCATTGGCTTTTTGGACCTCTTTTGCCATTTGTGTTAGGCTATTTTTTAAGGTGTTATTTTCTTCAGTATTTTTTTGGGTCTCCTTTAGCAAGCTGTTAACTTGCTTTTCATGATTTTATTGCATCACTCTCATTTCTCTTCCTAGTTTTTCCTCTACTTTTCTTACTTGCTTCTCAAAATCCCTTTTGACCTCTTCCAAGGCCTGGGACTGATTCATATTCTTCTTAGAGGCTTCGGATGTAGGAGCTTTGACTTTGTTGTCTTCTTCTGGTTGTATGTTTTGATCTTCTTTGTCACCACAGTAAGATAATATAGTCAGACTCTTTTTGCGCTGCTTGCTCATGATCCCAGCCAATTACTTGAGTTTTAAACTCTTTGTTAAGGTAAAAGTCTGCTTCCAATGTGAAGAGTGTACTGTCCCAAGCTTCGGGGGTTTGTACAGCTGTTTTCAGAGATACTTCTAGGAACCTGAAAAGTGTCAGTTCTTCCAAGGTGGTATGATAAGGGGCGAGGTGTTTCCTCTCTACCACCACTACAAGCTCCACCATGCCAGCACTCCTCGTCGCCCCATGACTGCCCCTCAGAACTGTGATCCAGATCCAAGCACTGGTAAAGCAAGAGATTCCTGCCTCAGCACTGGCAAAGAGATCCTTGCAATCCCCCTCTGATCAGCCACTCGATTCCCCCTCAGTCTGTGGGCTGGAAGCTCAGAAGGCAGCCGCTGCCCTCGTGGCAGCTGAGATCTAGCTTCTTCTCTCACCGCAGTAACAGACTTTTTCCACTGACCTTCTAAGTTGTCTTTGGTGTTCGTGGGTTGAGAAGTCTGGAAACCGCCACAGCTGCCCGTGATTCAGCCCTCTGAGGCCTGCTCCAGGTTCACTGTGGCCTGCGGGCCCAAGCTGAACTGCATTCCTCTCCCAGCCCAGCACAACACACCTTTCCGATCAGCCATCCAGGTTGTCTTGGGCTGGAAATTTATTTTACTCTGTTTTTTTGTGGGTTCTGCTGCTTTAGAATTTGTTTAGAGCCATTTTTTGTAGGTATTTGGAGGGGTTTGGGGGAGAGCTCTAGCAAGTCACGGCTTTCCCTCCGCCATCTTAAAAATATATCCCCACAACAGTTCTGTGATAAAGATGCTGTCATATTACATTTCTTAAGGAGGACAGCTTTATCAGTGATGGCAACTAAAGCTAAGATGGGTAGAGGGCACAGAAGTTAAGAACATGTCTGCACTGGCATAAGGATCAGCCAGCAAAGTTGATGAGATCTTTTACACTTTTTTTTTTTATTTTTGGTTTGGCAATGAGGTTAAGTGACTTGCCCAGGGTCACACAGCTAGTAAGTATCAAGTATATGAGGCCAGACTTGAACTCAGGTCCTCCTGATTCCAATGCTGGGGCCATATCCACAGCCCCACCTAGCTGTCCCTACATTTCTAATTCTTATATCACACTCATTCCAAATACCACCCCATATCCATGAAATTTGACCTAACTCAAAATATTTCCAAAAGAGGGCAATCTTTCCTCAACTGACATAATACCCTGAAATCCAACAAAAGGTCAAATAATAATTTAGCAGCATGAAACTGTCCAGAACGCTGTGTATTAAACTCTACAGCCAAGTGGAGAAGTGGATAGAGGCCTGGGGTCAAGAGGACCTGAGTTCAAATCCAGCCTCAAACACTTCCTAGCTATGTGATCCTGGGCAAGTCATTTAACCCTGTTTGGTTGTTTCCTTATCTGTAAAATGAGTTAGAGAAGGAAATGACAAACCATTAGAGTATCTTTGCCAAGAAAACCCCAAACAGAGTCACAAAGCGTCAGACATGACTGAAAATGACTGAAATAAAAAAAAGATAAAATAATGCAAAAAAAAAAAAAAAAACCCAAGTACACCCCAAAAAACTTACCACATTCATCCTGTTAGCCACTTCAAGGGCCTTTTGTTTTGCTGTTTCCATGGCATACTCATAAGGTACAGAAAATGAAGCCTTGTCCAGAGTCTCTTTAAATCTGGATGGCACTACCTCAAATCGCAGGCCCTAGGACAAAAGAACAGCAAGACTTACTTACATAGTCCTACCGAAAGAAAATAAGTGAACTAAAAGGCAGCAGTTACAGGATCATTCCCTGGATGGAATGTAAACTCCTCAGGAGCAGGGAATATTTTATACATTATACTGGCATCCCCAGTGCCCAACAATATACTTGTTGATAGGCAACTTGGTGGAACAGTGGTTGGACAGCTGGATCTAGAAGACTGTTGTTGCATGAACTTCTATTTGCCTCATTTTCCTCATCTGTAAAATGGTGATAATAATAACACTCAGCTCCCAATTGCGAGGATAAAACAAGACATTTGTAAAGTGCTTTGCAAACCTTAAAACATTGTAAGATCATCGCTCTCAAGGCAGAAGGGACCTCAGTTGAATTTCAGATTGGAGTTCAACTAACCCTATCCCACTGCCATGCTTGGCAAAGACTTTTTAGAGATCAGGATCACAACCCCATCAATGTCACACTGGACCACTGACTACTGATTGACGTTCTGGTTCCCGTGGAAGGGCCACAGCAGCTCACAGCAAGTTATAGTTGGCAAACCACTTTTTTTTTTAATTTTAAGTAAATTTTTTATTGATATATTTTGTTTTTACATTGTTCAAATTTCTGCCATATCATTCCCCTTCCCCCTCTCAGACAGCAATTTAAGGGAAGTAATCTTAACCAAAAAAATAAGGGATACAAATAATCGTAACAGATAAGCCACTTTTCTGACAATCCAGTGAGGGAGGTAATGTAAATAAGTATTATTATCCATTTTTTAAAGATGA